GAGAAGGACATGTAGTCGAGGGCACCGGGCACGGCGTCGGGCCCAGTGTAGGGGGCCATGCGGGCGATGCAGTACTCGGCCTGGTCCGGGGGCAGCTCCCGTCGCAGCTCATCTGCCAGGATGTAGTTCTGAAAGACGGTACAGGAGAGCGTTTGACAGCATCCCACTAATGGCAAAGGAGAAAGCTCTGGGCTATGGAGTCCCACTGTCCGACAAGGAGAAAGCACTGGGCTACAGTGTCCCACTATCTGTCAAGGAGAAAGCACTGGGCTATGGTGTCCCACTGTCCCACAAGGGTGAGAGTCAAGCAGGAAATCTTCATTTCCATCATTTAATTCAAGTCTTCATTTTATTAGTCCTAATTATAGCCCTGACCACCTATATTTACAGGCATTACTGAAATGTATATTTAAAAACATATAATTCAAATTGAGGGATATGTTGTATAAGGTACTAGTAAGCCTCATTAAGTACATTGTGTACAAATATGTAGCTGTTCTTATGTTTTTTTTTTAACCTGGATTGAAAATTCATTTTTATAATAAATCACCCTGAGAAGTTTGCATTAAGGGGACTACTCAGGAGCAATATTCCCATGCTGGTGTAATGTCTCTCATTTCATCATTAAGATACACCAGGAGCAAAACCACAGAAAGACCCAGACAGCCAGCCCTCAGGGCAGCAGGAGCCTAAACCTGCACTGACACCTCAGCACCCCAACTCATCTGATGAGATCAACCATTCCTCAGAACCCAAATAAAGCTCATTCTGGATTACCTGATCTTATTGCAAAGGAATACATCCAAGACTATGGTTAATATTGATTTTATCTAACCATACATTCAATAAACTAGCTATAATAACATTTACTCATGCAGCAAAACTTGATTTCTGTTCTTTGCAGGAAGTCTTATCCTCAACATCTTTTATAAAACTTCTTTTTTTTCAGCATGGAATAAACCTATTGCGTGTTCCATGATCCTGGCTGTACATTATTACAGATGGATATAAAGAAAGACGTAAAAGAAAGATGGTTGTGCTTTTCTGACCTCTGGATATGCACCATCTAGCCCTTGCTCTTTAACCTCCGTGTACCCTGTCCACTCTGACATACGTTCTCCACATACCTTGTCTCCTGCCAACACCTTGAACGACGCCATGACCTGGTCAGCTGTGTCGGTGTCGGCCGTCTCCCGGGACATGAAGTCAATGAAGGCCTGGAAGGTGATGACCCCAAGCCGGTTGGGGTCGACGATGCTCATGATGCGGGCAAACTCAGCCTCGCCCTGCAAAAGACATCACTGCTTTTAGCCACAAAGCCCTTAGTGGTGTGATCCAACTATTCCTGAAAGCTACACACCCACCCCCTGCCCACACATGCCCTGCCTGTTCCAGGCCACGACAAATCCTCATTAAAATTTCCACTTCAAACCAAAGATCTAGCAGAAACCTCAGTTGTGAAAGTGCTCTCTCAGCGCTGAAGTAGACCAAACCCACAGCTTTCGTTACTGCCCGATTGTCGTTCTCCACTCATCTTCCGACAGCTGCATTCCGAGCTCTGTAAATCTTCAAAGCACTAAGAGTCATTTGGAAGGCGTTACCTAGGATTGTTCTGAGCTGTGCCTCCAATAGTATTCTTTTAAGAAAAGTTTTTTAAAAAGTACTGCACGCTGATTTTAGGTGAGCAAGACCTGCATCGCACCAGGTTAGCCTTTCCAAGATTCTACATTGTGTTCAATTTATTGGGAAATGCTTATGTATTAAAAGCCATTCAAAGGTGTGTTGGCATTATGATTTCAGTCAGTCCCTGTGCTGTGGAACAGTGCAGGATAAATTCCTGAGAAAAACAATTCAGAGCTCAATTTGCACCATATACTTTATAGATACAAATGTTTGATAGATGCACCTGAGGTTTATAAGCCAAGGTTTACTTGGCAATTCTGATGCCCAGCTGAGTCTCACAGCTCTGAGGCAGTGTAATCACATTACACAAGCTATTGACCCAAATTAGATAACACAGGGCATTTGAACGCAGAAATTAACAAGCACAAACTTGAATATTTGAAGCCAATTAATTTTGCCTGTTCTCCTGATATTGCGCTGTTGCCTCATTCTGTTGGTTTTAGAACGTCATACCGATGATGCAAAAGGTCCTTCATTGAAATACTAATGAACAAAATACCATTAGAATCAAATGCTGATCAACCCCCATGGTCTCTAAATGCAAGGTGGGCGTATAAGATCTAGGCAACTGCAACCAATTGGTCTTTCCATTAAAATCATATTTCCAGATTTTCAAGCCAGAATAAAATGCACTGTAAAGGGAATAGTCTGTAAGGAGACAACACCACCGTTAATGCATCAAATCAGCATTCCACCAGTTACATGATCTCTCTTGTGCACTGATTTATTCTGCTTAGGGCCACTTAACTAGAATGTCCTTCTCTCCCCAAAGCTTGTATTTGTTTTTATTTCAGTCTTCCTTAATCTGTCTCACATCACCCCGTCAGCCTCATATATATGCAGCATACAAAGAACCAGCTGCTCCGACAGATGGCTTAGCTGGTTCTGGGGTATTCGGAAACTTGGGAGAGCATTCTGATGGTTACTCCATTTACTGATCCATGAATCAAAGCAAAGGAAATATGAACAAAAGCTTGCACAAGTGGAACACAAACCACTTAACCCTTTAACGGCTAAAGTAGCATTTGGAGACCCATGAAAGAGGCAGATTCCAGTTGCTTGCACTTTGCAGAGTGAAGGAGTGATGATAACATTGCAGTTCCTATCTCGTAAATGGACAACACCTCAGAGTCTCAATAGTGATTGACACATAGGTAATGTTACATCTGCATTCTTCCTTGAGTGCTCTAGTTTCAGAAGGAGTCGTGGACGAGGGGCTTCAGAATGAGCAGCAACTTTACCAGGTTGTAACCCATGGAGATGAGGCAGGTGCGGAAATCTTCGGCATCCATTATCCCCGTTCTCTTCTACAGAGGTGGTAGGAGGGGCATGACAAACCAGACGCAACATAGGAAGGAGGAGGGGATTGTGTGGATAGGGGGTCCAGACATCGAAGAGCGCAATAGACGTGGGGCACGTTTATAGAAAAGCAAGAGAAAGTGCCCGGAGTGTGGGGGGGGAAAAAAAAACAACAGATTTGAAGGAGAAGAGAAGAGAAAAAAAATCATCAGAAAGGTTAAAGAATGTGAAGAAGCAGAGGGGGGAAACAGCCGAAATTTGAAGAAGAGGATATCGAAAGTGAGAGAGAAATCAAGACGGGGAAGCAGGGAAAGTAACGTGGATGAATGGCAAGTTTTGAAAAGAACAAGGAGAGAACAAAAGGGAATTGGGGACCACAAAAAAAAACAAAAAACAGAGAGGTAGTTAAATAAGGAGACCGCTCGGGGTGGGAGGAGGGTTTTGCAGGGTACCTGTGCATCGTTGGCGATATCGAAGCCCAGGCTGATCAGGCAGGCCTTGAACTCCTCAGCGCCCAGCGTCCCGGAGTGGTCCTGGGCAGCCAGAGCGTCGGGCAGCAGGGTGTGCGCCAGTGCAGGGGGGCGTCGAGTCGCAGGGCATGCACATGGGGCACGGTGAGGGTGAGGAAGTGCGTCATGCAGGTTGAGGAGGAGGAGGAGGAGGGGGGGGGCAGGGACAGGGAACAGGGGCATGCACCAGAGACAGAGACAACAAAAAAAAGTGCACACACATTAGACCTTGCAGTGGACATTCACAGCAGCTCCACAAGAGGCTCAACTGAATTACACATGAATTAATGTGCATTAATGCGGTGGCGGGCAGACGAACCGTCGTGTGAGGTTAATATGTACTTGTGCCGCAGATTCGGCAGAGAAGGGAAACCTCAGGCTCAGGTCAGAGAAAAACAGACAAAACTGCATTCAAGATGCACCTCGATTCAAGATATTAATTTCTGCTTGACTGTAAGGTGAAAAGCCAGTTCAAATCCTTTTATGTTAAGAAATCAGGCAGATAAGAGCAGCAGACCCATTGCTTGACTCTGGATGCGACTAGATTAGCTGACAGGATGAATTTTTGCATTACTGTCAGACACCTGGACATAAGAACACATGTATTCTGTGATTGGTGTTCAAATTCCTATATCATATACTGTACATTCTGTAGTTAAATCCATTTTTGTTCGTCTTGACATTTATGGTTGCAGATGAAGCTGAAGAGGGCTATACTAGGACTATATAAATGACTGTACCTACAGTAGAGCACAGCAGGAGAAGATACCTTTGTATGTTTGTTTTTGCTCTCTGGAAAGAACCTTCATAAGAATAAATTAATTTCAAAACTTGAGTGAGCTACGCTGTCTTGAAGCTCAAAATGGCCATCCATCCTGTAAGTTTAAACCTGAATATTTATTTTCTGGTTTTCATCTGTCATTATATTTTTTCCTAAAATACTCTGCTGTAAATGGCAGTTTTGAAGGGTGTACTGTAAGTAATTGTGCTTTATCTCAAAAAGAAAAATGAACAGGGTGTGAGGTCATCAGAACATCTAGTCTGGCTGGCATTGTAAGCAAGTGCCAGTACAGCACTTCTGCAAGCCCGTGCCCACTAGAGCAGTACTGATGCCCAGATCGCTCTCTTCTGCTGACATCTCTGCTGTTGCTCTGGATGGTAATCCTCCAGAATCTTCCACAACGGCCACCTAGAACTTGCTAAAATTACAATGTTTATAATGCTTTTACAAAGAGACATGGTTACTCTCTGCTCAAAATATTAGGAATCCTACATTGTGAATGCCTTTGAACAGCTGGAACAGGATGTGAGAAGATTTATTCCTCCAGATTTGGAAATATTTGCTGTCCAGTTTCAGTCAAAACTTCCAGGAAGATGACCTCCATTTGAGGTGGTAGTGATTGCAATGGCTGGTGGGACTGAAACACAGGTGTCATCGGTTTTTCCATGTTTTGAACAGGAGTGAAATCTGGTTTTGGAGATTTTCCCCCCCACAGGAAGACACTATTTAATTTCACGTGGGGTCCCTAATATTTTTGCCCATGGCTATTTAGGTATGTAGCTTTTTCAATTTAACCAATTATCCTAAATTTAAGTTTAAGATCTCTTTTGTCAGACCAAATCATACAGCCTTTGAGAAATATACGGCCTGCTGCTCTTTTTTTCCCCTCTATGGATTTAATGTAATTGGTGTCTTAAATAAGGTTTAAAAGAATCTTGTAGCTTTTACTAAACAGAACCTTATTCGCATATATAAGCCTGTAAGATGTTATCTGACCTTCATCAGAAATAACAAAACCAGAACTAGAATTAGAATCCTGAGGTTTGCCTTTCCAGTTGAATTGGTGGATTAGTGTCACCCTCTAATAAGTCATGGTGCAATAAAGAAAGCATTTTTATATTAACATTACACCACCCTTACACAGCACTTAGGGGGGGCTTCAGAACATAAACAAATTATTCTCAAAAAAGTGCCGACACCTATTCATGCTTGTAAAAAACACCTACAACTACAATTAAATAGTAAATTTCTAGACTGAAGTAGACTCATTCCAAGAACCAAATACAACTGAAGCTTGAAGCCTGTTGTTGTAGCAGTGCACTAATAAACATTTATAAACAGGGCAATTCCAACTTGCACTCAAAAACAATCACAATCGCAAGCAGAGAGGTCTGAATCAAAACAGGGACATCAAAAAGAAAGTTCCAGGTCGCTAGGCTTCCAGCTCTCCCTTGTGTTACACACAGGTAAAACCAAAACTCCTGCACACTGCCCATATCAACTCACCGACACTAGCTCAATCTCCTCTTCGACACATCTAAACACGCAGAGAGAACACACAGACATGTAGGGCAGGTGCTACCATACCATCATTTCACTTGAATAAAATAAGTTAATCATAGAATTTGCTGGTAAACGAGATTCATTGCACAGGAAAGGCCATTCCATACCAAACCAGGACAGGAGTATCATTATGATTGAAATTAGAATTAAAACAAGTGCACTGCCTTCCAGTAGAGACTGCCTTACATACAGTAAGGTCTGTCATGCAGATCAATGCCGTGTATCCACAAAACCTACAAAATCAAACTCTCTCAAAAGTAAGAGTGTCTTATCTTGGTAAGGGAAAAAAAATTACCAGTGCTGGATTCAAAATTGTAATGAATTACTCGGTCTGTGTCAACAAGTGTCATATAATTTCTAAGAAGTATCTACTATCATGTTGGTCACAGCTTGAATAATGAAGGCTACAATTATCTTTAACAGGGAATAAACTGCTTAATCCCTTCAACACAGCCCTACACACACACACACACTCACTCCCTTTTCACAGAGAATCCAGCCACCCCCTGCCCCACCCCCGGCCCTGGACTCACCCTGTCGAAGTGGTTGAAGGATGCCCTGAACTCGTTCATCTGGTCCTGGCTGATGCCCTTGGCGTCGCGCGTGAGGATCTGGTTCTCAATCTCGTTGATGGTGCGAGCGATGGTGGTCAGGAGCTGCTCCCAGCCCACGCGGATGTGCTGATGGGAAAGAGGCAGAGCACAAGGGTTCAGCAGTGGGGGAAACTCCTGCATTTCACCACAGTCTGTGACATCAAGATTACAAAAGAGAGGAGGCAATTTGGCTCATCAAGCCTGTGTGGTAGTTATTAGTTAACTGATCCAAGGATCTCATCCAGCTGTTTCTTGAAAGAAACTAGGGTATCAGCTACAACCACATAGCTGGGTAGTTTGTTCCATACTCCCACAACCCTTTGGGAAAACAAGTGCCTTCTGTTCTCACTTTAAAATACATTTTCACATAGTTACCACTTGTGTCCTCGGCTTTGTGTTTCATCTTTTATTTTGACAAAGTCCATTGATTTTGCCTTCCCTTTGAGGATTCTGACTACTTGTATCAGCTCCCCTCATTGTCTTCTCTGTTCAGCATTAAACAGCTTCAATTACTTCAGGCTGTCAGTGTAGGATATATGTATATGTAAAACATCCTTCTTACCTATTTCATGTTCATACATGTTTAACTAGAAGCTGATATAAAGGCAAAATGAATATTTGTATGTGTATTTAGCCGAGACCCCAAAGTTGTGCGTCTGCATTTAGGTCTCTAGAATTTCCCTATAAATAAGACAGCATAATGGCACATATCACTCTTTAATGTGTCCATATATTCAGTTATTTATGTAAAGGTAGAGGCACGCAGGTGTGTGCAAGTATGTGTTGGCTTGTACGTATCTTATCTCTGCAAAACGGACAGTATAAATCATTGGATTGCACTTATAGTGCATTATAATGTACTCTGGTTGTTTTTAATATATGTTAAAATTAGCCGAATAGAATGGATTTATAGTAACCTTCATGCACAGCTTAAATCATTTTTGTGTAAATTAAATCCCGAGGTACACAATTACCTGGTGGTTTCATCTGCAGCTTTGGAGAATGAATGGAATTTGGCTAGAGTGCTCTCAGATCACGAAAGTTTGCCACAGTCCTCTTTGCCATGTTATAGGAAACGAGTTGGTGTTGAGATACAAGTTGTGAGAATCCATGAAAAGAGCTACACAACTTTCATACCTCCATGGTGTAATTGGTGTGCTTGTTGTCAAAAATGAGGGCTTCCTGAATGAGCTGGTGGTCTCCCTCCAGCTGGTCAATCTTTGGCTTGTAGTTGATTATGCTCTTCTCGTACTGGCGCAGGTGGTTGAGCTGGTCCTCCAGCGTGCCATGCATCTCGATGGAAATGCGCCCGATCTCCTACATGGAACAAGACATTGGCTGTCAAAACCCTTAGCAGCCATGCTCAGGAAACCTATACTATCTCAATTCAATTTCCCTTAATCTAGAAGGAAAATAAATAAAGCTGTATATCGTACACAGTTTTATATGGTCAGTCGTGTCCTGTATCCTCTCTCAAATTTCAGTTTTAGTTTGGTATACCTTGGTCTCTATTTTGTCATATGCCTCCCATCAGATGTCTCATAGGAGAGGGATCAATGCCTGTATCCGCCTAATGGGAGACTGTGCAATCCTACATTTCACTACAGGCGTCCAGAAAGAAGCAATCAGGCTCACCTCCATCTTGGTCTGGATCCATGGCCCAATGACATTGGCCTGGTTGGCGAACTGTTTCCGCAGGCGTTCGTTATTCTGCTGCCGGGTATGCTCTTCTATCAGAGCCTGGTCCCTCTGAGGTACCAGCTGTCGGACCTGTCAGGGCAGAAGCAGGGGTAAGGGAATTGGGCATAGATACACATGTGTACACAGGAACAAACACATACAGTACTGAATTGCAGAGAGTCAGTTAAACTACAAAGGGGTAGGCAAGGTTAATATTGATTTAGCTCACAAGCCATTGATACAATTCCTGTAATACACAGGCACACACAGGCCTGGACGCTGCAGTACCTTATCCCACTTGGTGTTGATCTCCTGGGGGTTGATTGTGGTGTAGGGGTTGGTGCCAGCCATGTTGACATGGTAGGTCTGGACAATCTTGCTGACCTCATTGTGGATGCCCAGAATGGCCTGACGCTCCTTGTCTGCCTCAGGCAGTGTGGCCTTGAACTGGTCATGAGCTGTGCTGAGCCCCTGAAACCAACACCAAACTCACGTAAATTTCGCCCCTTGACATACGCTCTGTGATTTCCTTGGTTTGGAAGAGACCCCCTAACTCACCTGGATCTCCTCAATGGTGTGGACAATGAAAGTGTCCTGCAGATCCTCCATCGCCCCTTCCATCCAGTTGTTGAATGGCGCCGCCCTTTTGGCAAACTCCAGGTACAGCTGGTCAATGGTCTCCAGAAGCTTCTCGGTTCTCTACAAAAGTGAAATATGTCAAAAGGGCAGAATCTGCTTTTTTTCCCCCCTATATCAACTTGTTTGATAGTGTGGGCAATGAAAACATTCTGCAGGCTCTCCAACTCATTCAAGAAAACCACTGTATCTGGAGGAAAGCTTAAGGCAGCCACAGCCATCTCCAAAAAACTTGCTAAGTACCCTAAGAATTTAGGATATGAACTCTTGCGTCACATAATACAGTAACTGGGGAAAAAGGTGGATAGTTTTAAAATGGCCTCACCTGCAAGGCCTCACTGCGCTTCTGGGTCAGAGACCCCAGAGAGTCCCACTGGTCACAGATGCGCTGACAGCGGGCGTTGACACTGGGAGAGTCATAATAGTCCAGCTCACTACAGAAAGAAACATGTTAGGATAAAAATAATCAGTTAAGCAGGACAAAAGCAATCCAGCACAATAAACCGCATCAACCATTGCTGCATCAGGAACAACCACAGGAAAGCAGTTTCTTAAAGAACTCTGTTTAAATGAAAATACCTTTAGGTCTGGAAGTAATAAAATAACATGCTGCTGAAATTTGCTAAGGGTTGAGAAAACAAAAGGGTTTATCAGCAGTGAATTTATAGGTTAAAAAAATGAAAGGTATGACCACAGGGGTATCCAGCTCTTACTTGAGCTCCTGTGCAATGGCGGCTATCTGCTCGACTCTGTCCTGGTGAGCAGCCAGGTCGCTTTCGAAAGCTTCATGTTTCTTAAGCAGAGCTTTGATCTCGGACAGGGAGGCAGTCTCATAATCCTTCTGCTGCAGCATGTCCTCCTTGCCTGGAGAGGGAGCCAGATCACACAGCTGTTAGGTCTATAGCCTTGAAACTCAGTATTCTCATTCTCCAATAATGCAGGTGTTGCAATACTAATGTTTGCATCATAATATTCTGAAAAGGAAACTTGGTTTACTCCCCTCAATTTTCTGTAATCCAAGCTTCTGCTTTTGAATGTGTACAAATATTTCAAGAAGGCAGACAGAAATCACTAGGGCCCTGGTCACCTTTAACACCCCCTTCAGGAATAACTTGAAACCCAAGAGTTACAACACTGCTTAGCTAAAAAAGGTATTACTGTGAAACACTTTGGAAAGTAATGTTCATATGCAAAGCGCAAATGTAAATGTAACTTGCAAGCATACTTGCATTTATAACACATTTGTAAAACCAGCCTCTTCATCGTAGTTTGCAAAAGGAGAAGAAGCTCTTTGTAATGGAAATTCAATGTGAAACATTTAGATTCTCCTAAATTTGCATCCTGGATGACTGATTAACACACTTCATAACCTCACCGTTCTTATCATGAAGAAACCTGCGCCAGCTTTATGTGGTAGCATGATACATGAAGAACTTTTGAATGCTCGATTAAAATGAAGAATTTCATGAGTGAGATCTCGGTCGGTGCAGTTAACTCTTGCACACGCACGGCACACATTTATTGATGAACAAGCTGTACCTTCGGTCCAGGCCTCGTGGATGGTCGCTTTCTGCCTGAACTTCTCAGCCAGGTGATCGAGTCTCTCCAGCCTGCGGATTTCGTTGAGCAGCCACTCCTCATAGCCCTTCTCTGCCTGCTCCAGCCCTCCCCAGGCGTTATTAATGTCCTGGAAAGGAAACCAAAGCAGGTGGTGTCGTGCTTCTCCCAGAGGGGCACCTGTGTGGGGTTGAGGGAGAGCATACTCACAGACACCATGCGGCCTTCGGAGGGCATGAAGGCAGGTCTGTTGCTGAGGCGCAGCTTGGTCTGCAGGGTGTTGAAGTTGATCTCCAGCTGGCACTTTTCCTGGACCTTGGGGGGCTTGTGGAGCCTCCTGTAGTCCCGGAAGTCCTCCAGCTTCTGTTGCATGGCTTGCATCGTGTTCTCCGGGGCTCGGTTCTCCAGCCATGGGATGGTGCGTCTGATCCACTCGAGCAGCTGAGTAATTTTCGGGAGGGGGTGGGTTGATCATGTTAACGAGGGAAGACATGAGACAGTGTGCCAAAGTTAGCATGAGAAAGAGGGCAGAGGCTGTGTGTGAGAGACACAGGAGAGACAGAAATGTAACGGTGTAGTTGGGGAGGAAGGGACTGCGAGATAACCAACATCAGGGTACAGCAGAGCCAGGATATCTGCAGGTGTTCATCCCAACTTGGCTCTTCAGCTCCATCACCTGGTTATCAACTTAATGTAAACAGCTTTTCCCAGCTCCAAAATAGGTGTACTTTTTGCACTACAGTTCTGGATCTTGAACTTTTTAGGAAGGTGTCCTCATGACTCTTGCTAAACCAAAGTTTAGGACCAGGGTGATCAATCCTGGTACTGGAGGCTCCAGGGTGTCACAGTTTCATTCCAGCTGAGCTCTTAACAACATTAAGAAGCTCATGATTGGATTAATACTTAATGGGACCAACTGAACTGAACTTCTCACAGCTCATCAGGTCCTGGTGCTTTGGGGAGATCTAGAAAACCTGCAGACACACTGGCTCTCCAAGACCTGGACTGTTCACTAGAATAAAGACTAGAACATCTGACTTTTCTGACGGAGGAAGAGTCAGAGAAAACTGGATGGAACCTTAAGAAGGAAAGTGGGCAGGTGGTTGCCCTTCAGGAGAGAGACGGTAAGACTACTTTACTCCTGGAAACAAGTTGTATAAAAGAGTGGTACTCTGAGGCCAAAAAAGCGCAAAGTAAATGCAGCTGACATCACCATACATTCACAGAGGTAAAGGCAGAGAAGACATATGCAGAATTAATTGAATGCAGGGTGATGAACTGTTGAAGACTGTCCACTCACATCGCTGGCCAGCTTCTCATAGTCCTCCATCAGCTGCTCGTTCTCCTGGTTGACTGCCAGCACCTTGCAGATCCGATTGGCTGCCGTCTCGGCCTGGGGGACAGAGGCAGAAGGATTAAATGGTCAAGCAAGGCACTGGAATTCTCCTAGGCTTGTAACAAGTCTTATTAGCCAGTCAATTCCAGTCTTTTTTTAATAAGTCATTTTACTTTGGCTTCCGATTCTGAATAATCCATAATTATTTCTTTAAACAAGGAATATCCCTCAAGAGAGAGATAAAAGTTGCATATTTCCCAAAGTATTGCTGAGGACAAGGATTTTGTGCTTCTGTCCCTGGAGATACAGTAAATATGGGGCACCTTGCTTTTGCCTTCTATTTCTTTTCTTTTAAAAAAAAAGAAACAGCTCTTTATGAAAAGACAAAGAACAGGGTGATTTTGTAATAGTAAACGTTCAATAACCAACTGTTCTTTTCTTCATTTTTAGCCATAGGAAAAGCAAGTAATTTCCTTTAGTAGCAGCAGTAACGCATCTGTAACTTAACAACCTGTATACTTTTATTTAATAATAATAATAAAAACAAGTGCATCTACGGACAGAATCTCAATTTTTGCCAACAAATGGGCAAATACGGATAGAAAAACCAAGATTTGTAAAATCTGTCAAACTTGATCACACAAGTGCAGCCAACATGTACGGTGGATATGAAAAGTCTACACACCCTTATTGAAATGGCAAGTTTTTGTAATGTAAAGCCAGAAATCAAGATAAATCATGTCAGACATTTTTCCATCTTTAATGTGACCTTGCAACTAACAAAATTCAAGAGAAAAACAAATAATTACTAGGAAAATTAATTGAAATTAAAAAAACCTACAACACCCTGGTTGCATAAGCGTGCACTCCTCCCCGCCTCAACTAATACTTTGTGGAAACACCTTTTGCATTTATTACAGCAGTAAGTCTTTGTGAATAAGTCTCTATCAAACTTTGCACACCTGGACTTTGCAATTGTATCCCTTTTTGTTGCAAAAAAGTTCAAGCTCCTTCACATTGCGAGGGGATCTCCTGTGCACTATATTTTCTATGGGATTGAGGTCTGGGCTCTGACTGGGCCATTCCAAGACTTTAATCTTCCTTTTCTGAAGCCATTCCTTGGTTGAGTTGGATGTGTGCTTTGGGTAGTTGGAAGTTGAAATTCCTTTTCATCTTCAGCTTTCTAACAGAGGCCAGCAGGTCTTGTGCCAAAATATCTTGATATTTGGAGCTAGTCATTATCCCATCTTGACTAGAGCCTCTGTCCCAGCTGAAGAGAAGCAGCCCCAAAGCATGATGCTTCCACTACCATGCTTCACAGTAGGTATTGTGTTCTTCGGATGATGAGCTGTGCTGTCTTTCCACAAAACAGATCTTTTAGAATTAAGGCCAAAAAGTTCACCCTGTGTCTCATCAGATCATAAGATATTTTCCCACATGTTTAAGGGTGACTGAATGTATTTTTTTTCCAAACTTTACATGGGTTTGGATGTTCTTTTTTGTGAGAAATGGCTTCTGTCTTGCCACCCTACCCCATAGCCCAGACATGTGCAGAATACGGGAGATTGTTGTCACATGCAAGGAGTGACCAATACCTGCCAGAAATTCCTGCAGCTCCTTTAATGTTTCTGTAGGCTCTTGGTAGCCTCCCTGATACATTTTCTCATTGTCCTGTCATCAACTTTGGAGGGTTGTCCTGATCTTGTCAATGTCCCTGTGGTGCCACATTTTCTCCACTTATCGATAGTCTCCACAGACCATGCTCCATGGTACATCCAATGCCTTTGATATTCTTTTATAGCCCTCTCCTGATCGGTACCTTCCAACAATAAGATCCTGTAAATGTTTTGTCAGCTCCTTGCGGACCATGGCTATCCCAGTCGGATGCAACCACGAAAGTTTCAAGAAAATCCTACAGGAACAGCTGATTTTTATTTGGGGTTAATCAGAATCACTTTCATTGACGGCAGGTGTATGCTACTTACCTTTGGACATGATTCTGAATGTGATTGGTTAACTCTGAACACAGCTACAGCCCCCATTATAAAAGGGTGTGCACACTTATGCAACCAGGGTGTTGTAGGTTTTTTCATTTCAATTATTTTTCCTAATAATTATCTATTTGTTTTTCTCTTGAATTTTGTGGTTGCAACGTCATATTAAAGATGGAAAAATGTCTGACATGACTTGTCCTGAAATCTGGATTTACATCACAAAAACCTGCAATTTTAATAAGGATGTGTAGACATTTTATATCCACTGTAACTAATTGTCTAAACATTTCCATGAACTGCTATACTGATGAAGCAAAACTTTGTGTTTTATATAGGGATCTGTAAAATTAATACTGTTTTATGAGGTACAAATGTACACAGGTTCTCAGCATTTGTTTTCAGGGCTGCATCTTGGCATTTTCTAGGTGAGCGACACAAAACAACTGTTTTGTTTTCAGAAACAACTCTTTCTCCTTAAAGTTTATGCTCTAAACCTACAGATTACATACAGGATATGGCTGTTTGGTACAATGCACCACAGCAACTTTCAACCTCAACCTGACTAAGAACGGCCTGATTACATTTTCAAAACAGCTCAAATGTTGTAATCTAATGCTAAAACTGTAAGGAACTGTTTTGCATACATCTTGCACTGGTATGAAAGACAGTGGTTAACAGTGACATTTCCCTTAAACTAAGGTCTATGCTTTTTGAAACACCCTTGAAGCTAAGCATAACTTAAGAGGACACCGAAGATAGTAAATCTTGGGGTATTCAGTTTGAGCTTCATATTTTAGATTTTGGAGAAATTTGCAAGATAAAGCTTTAAGAGCACAAATTACTTGATTTTGATTAAAGAAGCCTGAAGTAAAGTCTAGTTAAAGTTCAAATTAAGTTCTAGCAGTTCTAAAACAGAGAAACATTTAATTATAAACTTGCCTTCAGCCAGCACAGAAGGCACAAAGGGGAAATAAAAGATGAAAACTGAAGAGAGGGTAGGTAATAGAAGGTTGCAGAGCCCAGAACTTTTAGAAGATGGAAAATGTTAGTTAATAGCTGCTCCAATGAGCAAATTCATACAGGCAACAGCTGCACTACATTGTATCTGCCAAACTTTGGTTTTACTTTCGTAATTTTTGAGTAGTGTCTTTCAAGGCTTTTCTCTGAGATAGGAATGCACAGCACACAGAGACTATAAAAGTGCTTTCCGGTAACAAGAAAATACATGATCAGATCGACAGACTTTTATTCAGGGATTAAACAAAACAATTTACCCAAAATCCATGGAATTAGAACACAAACTCTTCCTTGCTTCTGCCAATACTCAATTCATTTCAGAATAGTTCCATTTTTCAATTTCTACTGCAGTGCATTTACTTACAACAAGTAGCTATTATCCTTTCCATCACTGTCACATGTTCAGTTGCAGCTCATATCTAAATTGTACACTTCTGTAGTATTAATTCAACCAAATGAATTTGACACTAGAAATGTGACTATTCAAATCTGACCATATGAGCAGACAGCTTTTTGGCGCTATCTGGCAAACTGTATCACTTCGACATGAAAAAGGACTAAAAAAAAGAAATGAGGATACACTCCAAAAGGATTCCACTGCCCTGGCACTGCTGGCAGGAGTAATTTTCCGAAAACTTTGATATTTGCATTAACAGATGTTTATTGGCTACATGACATCCCCATAAAAGATCAATAATGTGAAGTTCTCAAATACATGACTACTTAGGTACAACAGGCAACAGAGATTTAATCAATAATAAAATATGTTTCTGGATCAAACTAAATCAGTCACCTTTTACTTGTTGGGTAAAACCAACCTCCACAAACTTTTCTGGATTGGAATTAAGTTTCAGGTCATTAACATCAATTACATTCTTTGATAACCTGAACTCACACAATAAAAACAGACTGATAAAGACAGTAAAGGTAGGTAGCAAATGTATCGAGCAGCTGTAGCTGACAGACATCTCAACCAAACATTTTGAGCACCTTCCGTAAAGACATAAATATAGACTACAGTACCTAAATTTAAATGCAACAGAACTATGTTATCATTTATTCATATGGTTATTAACCTCCTTAATGTGGACAACAGATTTTTATATTTTAGATGTGTCGCACAAGTTCAAAGAGGTGTATTATGCTGTAGGAAACCCGAGTTTAGCTTTTCCCCCACAAGGGTAACTATCCCTGTTACCACACCTGTCCAGGTCTGAAATCCTGCCACCCCCTCCCCAGTTGGAAAGGGAAGAAGTGGTGTTCACCTCTGGCTGCGTCCCAGCACTAGTGTGTGCAAATACCTCCATGTTAGACTCTCAGAACTCAGTCATTGTTAAGGTGACTGGAAAATCTCATCTGTTGTGTACCAGAGCAAAGCAGCTGTTCCACCCTAGCACTGCAGATTCCAATAAGAAACTACTGCATTCAGATGTAACATCAAGTTAAAAATTAAAACTAATTTGATAAACACAGGGGAAGCTGAGGCGACTCATGTTAGGCTCCACACAACAAATCTGTAGCCAAAATGTAGCATGCTGTGCCAAGCAGGTACCAAACTTTAAGGGAAGACTGGACTCCTTACACACCCAAAAACAAAATCAAACACTTTTTGCAATTCTCCAATTTCTCGTCATTTAACAACAGCTCGCCCACTGTGTTCTATATCTCTGCTGACAACCCCTATGTGCAGTTTTACACCTTTGTTGTGCCAAAAAGTGAGATCTTTTCCTGCTGTTCATCTGTTGCTTTACTTTATCTGCATCATGCACTAGATTTCCTATTATCTTGAAACACTAATAAAAATGAAAAAAAATAAACCTTGTATTTATATAGTGCTTTTCATCCCAAAGGATCCCAAAACACTTAACCCAGAGGCACCCACTACATCTTCCACTGAAAGTTAAAGGGAAAGGCCCCCCCATCTGTGTGAAGAGCAACAACCATTACACAACGTTAATTGTAATTTTGTCCAGCCCCAGTATATAGCAGATCAGGTGGAGAGGTGAGAAAATACTTCATCAATAGAATTGACAGGGAGCACAAGAC